CCAATGTTTATACCAAATAAATTCATCTCTGCTGAATTTCATCTTATTGCTATCAGCTCACTGTCAAGGAAAAGGGGGTGGTCACATTAGCCTTCAGCTGCCTTGACCTTTTGTACATGGAAGGAGACTTCAGGCAGTGGTGTGTCACAGCACGACTTCTGCAAAGTTTCAAAATGTTCAGTAAACAAAACTACTTGGAGAAAGATCTGTGCTCACAGAAGGAAATCTCCCTAACCAAGGTCTCATAGCTATCATTCCTGTGGTGAGAAAACCTTGTTTTAATAAGATTAAGATGATTGATCTATCCAAGTATTTTTAGCATTAATAGATATTTCCGTTTCTAGAGAGCTACAAACATAATTGTACTCCCAGAGACTCAAAACATGTTTCTTTGTTGTGAGCATTTTACATGGATTATTTTTTTAATTAAAATACTTGCTCAATAAAATACCACCTTCAGACTCACATTCTCCATCATGTCAAACAGGAGTGATGATCCCCCACCAAAGAAACAGCCAATCATTACCGACAAAGAAAAAAATCAAAAAGGCTGTTTCTTCTGCCTCTTCCTAGATAGCAGGCCAGTGAGACAGGGTACCCCAAATACATCAGGAGTCCTTTGCATGCAATTGACAAACCTGTTGCTGAAACTTAAGAAAGTGAGACAGAGTGACAGAGACAGACAGACAGACAGACAGACAGACACACACACACACACACACACACACAGAGAGAGAGAGAGAGAGAGAGAGAGAGAGAGAGAGAGAGGGAAATTTACTGGTTATGTGTGATTAGAACACCCAGAGACTGGTGAGATGGCTCAGCAAGCATGTTAGTCATGATTCTCTGAAAAAACAGAACTGGAAGAATATACATACATACATACATACATACATACATACATACACACACATTTATATTTATTTATTAGACTGACTTACATCATGTGGTCCAGGTAGTGCAACAATGGCTGTCTCATGATGGAAAGGCCAAGAAGTTGTTCAGTCCCTGAGGTGCAAGTCTCCTGCTGTTCCAGACTGGTGCTGGAGTCCCAAAGGGTTCCTGGAGAGCTGCTGGTCTTCAGTCTGTGTCGGAGCCCTGAAGAAGTTTGGCTTTACTACAAGCCACAGCAACAGGGTAGATCACTTGCCAGTGAAAGTGAGGGCAATCAGACAGAAAGCAAAGCTTCCTTCTCCTTTGTCCTTTAATGACCCAGATTTAGCATGGGTCTTCCAGTTTCCAACAATCTGGTTATGAAAATCCTTCACAGGTGTACCCAGTAGCTTGAGGTTAATTGATTTCAGATACAGGCAAGTTGACAACCAAGATTAACCAACACACAAGGTGAAGGCTCCTGCCACCAAGCCCGATAGCCTAAGTGCAGTCCCTGGGACCCACATGACTTCTTCAAATTGTTCTCTAGCCTCCACTCACATACTCATGTGCATACACCACACACACACACACACACACACACACACACACACACAATCC